CTCTCTCTCCCTCTCCTCCCCCCCCACCCACACACACACACACACACACACACACAAACACACACACACCACACACACACACACACACACACACACTCCCCTGGTGGGAGTTACTGGGCTCTTGGAGTCAGAAAGACAATCTGACTGGCTTTCAAAGACCCCTGACTGTCTGCTCTGTTTACTCAGATGGGAGCGCCACCATGTCAGAGTCATTGCATTACCTTGTTTTGATCTCACTGATGAAGAACATGAGTTTCAGGGTTCAGGGCTGAATCATAGGCTACCAACATGTGATGCAGTGTGTTTAAAGCTTAATGAAAACACAAAATATGATACGTGTGTTTGTTGCTGCAGCAGAAAACACACTACTTATAATGCAGGCAGTGTTTTTCTAGAGTGTGTCAGGTCACGGTAAGCAATTATAGTAACATGAATCAATTAAAACGTGTTTTTAGTTGTGTGTGCCTGAAGTGTCAGCAGATCTGTGCGCGAGTCATCGTTTGTTCTCATTAGTGTTTCCTGGAGAAATCAGCAGCGCTTGAGGAAATCAGGTAATTTGTATCCGCAAATAAGGAGACCCGGCCCAACAGCATCGTGTCATTTGTAACAGGGTAGTATTTGCGAGTGTGTATAGTAGTGTGTGTCTGTTTGGGACTATTTGGTTTGACAATGAAAAGGCAATTTGTGCATTAGTCTCAGTAATGGCCATGAGGCCGAGCATCATTAGCTCAACACTGCTCTCCAGTGGATTCAGAGTGAAATAACACACTTCAAAACGTTAAAACGTAGAGCGTGTTCCTAACGTATTAAGTCTGTAATTTAACTTATTAAAACCACCCCTTATTCTGATATAATATGATGCATTACACAGTACAGCATAACAAAGGAAAATCAGCTCAATTAAACAAAGAGGTAATTGTTTTAGGAGCCAAGGAGGAACTAATAAAAGTCTGCACTTGCTCAACACGAAAAAAGGTCAGATATCTAGGTCATGACCTGAATTTCAACACATTAAGACAATTAACGAGCCTACTATCACCTTGAGAATATATCGAGTTAAATGACTTCAGCAGGATTTGGAAAACGTGTCCATGCATTTATCTTCAGTAGACTCATCGTCGACTGTAAGTTTCTTTACAGCTCTCACTAAAAGATCCAGACAGCTGCAGCTGATTGTGAACGCTGCTGCTCGAGTCCTCACTAACACGGGCTTCCTGTCTGTTAAAGATGCTGCTGGTTTATAAAGCACTGAAGGGTTTATTCTGGCCTCCTGCTACATGATGAACCTCCCAAAACCGTTCAGTTATTAGGCTCCAAATATCTGGAACAAACTCCCACAAAACTGCATGTCCTTAAATACAATAATGACACTATACTTGTGTGTGCAGCTGACTGACATGGAGTACAGCTCTGTGTTTACATCTGGGAACAATTATTCACCCTCTTTTCTAGGGATGGGAACACTTGTGTCTTCCATAACATACAATTTGCTAGAATAAAGTAGATGTAACTAAATATCTGTTTGACATCTGATATTAGGGCTGGATATATCGTGTCGTGACGATAATCGCGTTATGCGCATGCGCGATATTTTTAGGATCGCACGTCCTTTTTTTTTTGAACATGCAATATTAAGTAGGCAAATGAACTCATGTTACAATTATTTTGCTGCTGGCTACAAAAGGAAAACTCTCGCGGCTCTCATGTCAGGGGCTCTTGAGTGAGTGACAGGCTCTGCATGCACAGCAAACCACCAATCACAACCATTCTTGATCAGATCACAGCAGGATAACCGAGCTAGCTCAGCTTGTTGCTCTGATAACTTAAGATCCAGAAGTCCGTGACTAAAATCCTTCATCCGGTTAAATATCGTTAAAAAAATTAACTATTTAGCATTAAAGTTCAAGAATGGATGGTTTGCGGACAAAAAAAAACGATTTTCTTCAATTTCTGTATTTTTTCATATCGCAGTGGGAACAAATATATCGCAATGTCAGTTTTTTCCAATATCGTGCAGCCCTATCTGATATTAGAAATATACCTTTAGCAGAAGAGCAATGCTATTCCTGAAGGACAGCATGCATTTAGTTTTTACAGTATTTAGTGGCTCCACATATTCCACATTTATTGCCTTGGAAATAGTCAAGTAGAGCTATGTAGCATACAATTGAAATACTCAAGAAATGTACAAGTATGTGAAAGTAGTATTTAAGTACAGTTATTTTACACTTTTTGAAATGAGTACTTTTCCTTTTGGTGATTTGAGTAGATTTTGGTGACACACATCCTTGTATACATTCATATTAAAAGTAGCATGCAGACCATTTAAAGACTTCCAACCCATTCTTAGAGTTCGAAATGAAGTCTGTGCAGATCAATAGGACACATACCGCAATACACGTCTTGAAAAAACCCACATTTGTATATTAACACAATGTTAATGTCTATTTTACTCCAATCTAATTATTAAACACGGATAGTTACTAGCTATGACGCAGTAGTATGACCTAGAGATAATTATGTAAACCTTTAAACTCTTAAAGTGTTATGTTATTGGTGACATCGAGCCTAGAAGACGGGAAAAATGAATTATTTTAATGTTTCTGTTGAATATGTGTTGTTTCTGTTGAATATGTGTTGTTTCTGTTGAATATGTGTTGTCTGTAATGTATTATATACATTTGTCTGAAACAAGCACAATAATGATGTCTAATCAGAAACACCAGGGAAAACAAATAACTGCTGTAAATGAATAAACCAATGCAACATTTTCCTTTTGTGTATGTCCAACTATTTAAAAAAAATGCACAATATGACTGAAATATAGATAGATATGTTCTATTATATTCAGCTCTATACTCTCCTCTGTTCTGTTAAACGCTATTCTACAATCCTTGCTTCTCATTGGCGCACGTAAAAGGGAAGTAGGATGATGTCGACCAATCAGATCAGCGTTTTATTCCAGAGGCTTGTTTCCGGAGTGGCCTGTTATTATTCTGAGAGGCACATGAAATAACGGTGAGTATTTCTGATTCTGATTCAAAACACCAGTCTGTTTTTATGGGAAATAAGAAGTGTTGACGTCACTTTGAACAACTCGACGTGTTGTTTGAATGAACGCTTATAAATCCACCGCGTGCGCGTTTATAGCTTGTAAACATCCCACCCCTCAGTATCATCAGTCAGGAGAGAGACATATAGGAGATAAACCGTGCAGCCCGTGTGGGTTCAGGCCTGTTGTTTGCGCGTAATCCTAGAAAGAGGATTTGTGATGGTGGTCTTCCCGTCTGAAGCTTCCAGAAACACCCGAGATTATCCGTGCTTCTGCAGCCCCTCCCCGCTTCAATCCGTGCTTACATCGCAACAAGGGCGACATGAGGACAAGGGGGGCTTCTTGATGTCCATCCAATTGTTTTGTTTTTCTATTTTGTTGTGTTTTTAAATCATGCATGAGGGTGTTAAGTCTGTTGCTATACGTATGGTTTTATTGTCTCGTGCTTTTACATTAGTTTTCTTTTGTCCTATCGGGTTTGTCTAAATGTATTTATGCTGCTTTTTATATATATGTATTGATGTGAAGTCTGTTGTTTTTATTAAAGCCTGTGGGTCTACCTAATGATGTCACTGCTCGGTTTGACTGAGCATCCATGTGTTCTTTATTTTACTTTCGTTTCTCCATGTTATCATTATTGCTATTGTTGTACATCTTACAGGGTGGGGATGGTTGACCTCATGTTCTGTTTCCGCCTTTTGAATCCATCTAAAAGCACTTTGTAACTGTTTTGAGAAGTGCTGTTTAAATAAAGTTATTATTATTAGTTTTATTGGCTCGTGTGTCACCCTAAAAAAGGCACAAGATGGCGCTAAATCTTAGCTTTAATCACTGCATTTATCAACAGGTCTCCCTTCAAGTCCATCAAAATGGATATGTATGAAGTGCCTGTGCCCAACCAGGAAATACCCGGATGTCCACCAGGGTTAGAATACCTGACTCAGGTAACAATAGCTAGTTGTATGTAATGTATATGTGCATGGGGACTGGGGTGGAAATAGCCTTATCTCTGTATGTTGCATCACATTTCAAGTATTACAATGTGTCAAATAATTAAAGTTTTGCTTACAAATATTGCATATAAGAGCCTTCTGGTCCAGTGGCCAGTGCATTTCTCAATATGTCCTATTAGGACAAGCACGGGTGTTATAATAACCCTGGCAATAGCTCCATCCTATTCAAGTGTTCCAGTTACAGCGTATACCATGGAAACTCCTTTATTAATTCAATGATGTACACATGCTCTTCCTAATGCAATGAGTCTGAACGTTTTCTATGAAGAAGCTCAATTGCCTACATAAAGTCTGTTCATGTGTTCTTACCCCTCCTGTTGTCTTCGGGTCAAATCTGACGGATTTACTACTTTCATCAATCATAACTTTTTTTGTTTTACATTCGATTGCATTAAGGCTTTATGATATCCTTCACAGTAGACATTTGAACATATACAATCGCTGATCACCACTTTCATTGAGTTTTGGATGATTTAGTCAACTTTGTAACACCATGGTGTTCCCGGTCCGCCATAAAGAAAAGGAATTAGTATCCCCCCCCCCCCTTATGTGCCCATCCCCCCACATGGATCACACCTGGCACACGCAATACATGTTCAGTGTCTATTCTTTGTATATTTACTGCAGTTGTTCATGTATACCAGTAGTCTGAGACAATATGTACAGTTTGAAAGGGTGTTAAATGAAATGTGGTGATGATTAATGGTTTTTGTGTTAATGTAATAGCAGTTAAAACAGGACCGGTCAAATTTGACCGCGAACACCAAAGTAAGGGGGGGGGGAACGAAGACAACAGGAGGGTTAAACGGTGCCGACATGTTTGAATTAAAATGTCCCCACATGTCCAGTGGCAGTAGAAAATGAAGAAGCAGATACCACCTCCTTTCCAAGTCTTTTTAAAACATCCTAAATGTGAATATACACATATTGTAATGCTCAGATGCAACAAATGATGGGCCTTCATTTAAGGAAAGGTTGACGTGCCACAGTAGGCAAAGCACACGTAAATAATTGAACGAATGAAAGCTTTATTCCATGAAGCAGCTCAAGTTTCAGGCCTCTGTTATTATGCTGAGTCACCGTCAAGGATCAATGCCCTAATGTTAGCGATAACACCTAGGACCTTTAGGAGAGGGGAGTTCCTCAACACTCTCTAGCTAGAGAAGTACACAACACTGTACATTAATAATAACTGACTTTAAGGCCCTCCCCTCCAACGACCCACTGAACTGTGTATGTGGTTCTCTTTTCTCCTAGGTGGATCAGCTCCTCATCAAACAGAAAGTTGAGCTTGCTGAAGGTAAAGTATTTGTGCGTGAGAAAATAAATCAGTTATGCTGCTGTTATGTTAAGTACCAACCCTATCTCCAAAGAAATGACGTGTCCAATGTTGTGAATGGAGACAAAACAAAGATATGCAAGAACAAATACTGCTATTCAGGGGACACAATTACTCGGTTGGGTTTAGTGAAAATGTATGTTTGGCTTAAAAAATGTAGGTTTGTAATTTAAGTTCTAAAGATAAACACGAAGACGTTGCCTTTTTGTTTCCCACGGGACCTTGAACAGTGGTGAAAGCCCTGTGTTTTTGTGAACAACTTAGTTTAAGAAGCATTTAAAGTATTCTCTTCCGGGAGAAAACACACTTCCCACAACGCGTTACGACGAAGCAGTTTTGTTGTATAGGGCGACTGTGGCTGCGAGGGAGTGCGGTCGTCCTTCAACCAGAAGGTTGTGGGTTCGATCCCTGCCCATGCAGTCAACATGTCAATGTATCCTTGGGCAAGATACTTAACCCTGAGTTGCTCCCGATGGCCAACGGTGTGTGAATGTGTATGAATGTTAGGTCCTACAGTAAGGTACACTGCTCTGTGTGAATGGGTGAACGACATGTAGTATGTAAAGCGCTTTGAGGGGTCTTAAAGACTGGATAAAGCGCTTTATAAGTACAGTCCATTTACCATATAGGAACGTCATCCTTAAGAGACTTTTGAGTTAAGATGGGTTTTGCAGGTTGTCTTTATAACACTGACATATACGTATTGTTGCTCCTATGCAGCCCTGATTGGTTTTGAAAGCAACAACAAGTATGAGATCCGTAACAGCATGGGTCAGGATGTGTTCTACGCTCTGGAGGAGAACGACTGTCTGACTCGACAGTGCTGCGGTCCCATGCGCTCCTTCACCATCCACGTCGTGGACCACAACGGACAGAAGGTCATCACCATCACCAGACCGCTGAACTGCACAGCTTGCTGCTGCCCCTGCTGCCTACAAGAGGTGAGCCAAACACACATTATGTCCATTAAATCCAGTGTTGGGAGGATATGAGGACTAATCCCACTCTGTTCTCCCATAACCCCTCACTCAGCTGGAGGTGCAGTCTCCCCCTGGGAACACAGTGGGGTACGTTAGACAACAGTGGCACCCGTTCTCCCCCAAATTCATCGTGTCGGACGAAAACAACGAGCCTGTGCTGAAGATCCACGGGCCCTTCTGTGGGTGGAGCTGCCTGCCAGATGTTGACTTTGAGGTGGGTTCATCTAAACTCAGAAAATCCATTAAAGGTCCCCTATTATACTGTTTTTCATTACTTTATTATAGGTGTCAGATATATATAAAACTGAAGAAGAGGGGACACATGTTGATGTAGAAGAGACATGAAGAAGAGGGGACACATGTTGATGTAGAAGAGACATGAAGAAGAGGGGACACATGTTGATGTAGAAGAGACATGAAGAAGAGGGGACATATGTTGATGTAGAAGAGACATGAAGAAGAGGGGACACATGTTGATGTAGAAGAGACATGAAGAAGAGGGGACACATGTTGATGTAGAAGAGACATGCAGAAGAGGGGACACATGTTGATGTGGAAGAGACATGAAGAAGAGGGGACACATGTTGATGTAGAAGAGACATGGAGAAGAGGGGACACATGTTGATGTAGAAGAGACATGAGAGAAGAGGGGACACATGTTGATGTAGAAGAGACATGAAGAAGAGGGGACACATGTTGATGTAGAAGAGACATGGAGGAGAGGATTTTCCATCATAGGTGACCTTTAAATGTGTGCAAACATGACGGGACGCGGCCACTCTCGCCCTCTGGACATCTCTTGTAAGGGATCCTCCTCATGCTCTGGTGCAGGAAATATGTTTCCAATCAGAGCGGGCCTTAGTCTGGATCGAGCCGTCGCACAGGGCACGCTCCTGTGTGGCACAGAGCGGCCATTGTTGCACGCTCAGCTGGTTTTATTAGATTGAGCTGTGAAGGGGATTTGGGTCAGCGATTGAGACCTTTTGCAAGACCTAGAGAAGGGGGAACTGAAGCGTGATATTACCATGGAAGCTCCTCTCTGGCAGCTTTGAAGTTATTACTAGGACAGAAAATTCAAGTTGACACGACATTATGAATGTTCCCAAGATTACCCTACAGTAAAACGTGATGGATTGATCTTCCTCCCGATGTCTTCCTCAGATTTTGACGATGGACGAAGTCACCCAGATTGGGAAGATCAGTAAGCAGTGGACAGGACTTCTCCGGGAAGTCTTCACAGATTCAGACAACTTTGGTATCCAGTTCCCCATGGACCTGGACGTGAAGATGAAGGCTACTATGATCGGAGCGTGTTTTCTCATCGTGAGTAACGTCTTTGCCGTTGGTCAACGTCAAAACAGCAAGTTTTAGATTCTCTCACAGCAAAACAAGAGTTACAATTTTGAAATGACAGAGGCAGTCACCTCACATGACCCAACTTTTACTCACTGGTAGTCGGAAACTTCATGTACCTGCCACTTAATGCACCACTTAGCCTACATTGTGTGGGAAATGTGACCTGAAACCACCCCAATCACCACAAACAGCTTCTTTCTGTAGCAGCACACCACATTCGCTAAAGTGCTCCAATGCTAATCTCTTAAGACGTTGAGTTGGCTGGGACATATCAGGGAATCATTTATATCCTAAGCTATATTTCAACATTCATTCTGTGTGACTGTAATGCATCATTTCTTTGCCTTTAACACGTTCGTCTTGGTGTTTTTCCACACAGGACTTCATGTTCTTTGAATCGAACAACTAGGAGCCAAACAGGATACTCATGTAATCATTTCTGGAGAGCCATGATCAGAACAAAACGCCCGAACATAGAACAACCTCTGGACCAGATGTTTTAAAAAGGGACTACCTTAATGTTGCAGTTTTGCATGAACAATGATTTAGAAAGGTTTGTTTTAGTCTTAGCTGCTCCGGTTGTTTGTGACTAAGCTGTGAGTGCACACTGCAATGTTTCTAGACAAAGCTTTATTTGTGTTTACGGAACTACGGTGGCCTACAGGTGCAAACACCAGGTCAAAAACATTTCCATTGAGAGAAACGAGCTGCAGCTTCAGACCGTAAAGAATATTTAGTTACTACTGAAGACACTTGAATATTAGGATACCGTCCTTATATCAGCAAAAGGGAACACCATGCAGGCAAGAGCTGTTACACAGGGAGTACTTTAGGAGTGTTCAGCCAAAAAGCACTGGTGTAATTTGGTCAAATCAATAGTCAACATGTTAATATATAATGCTCTTAGCTATATTGTGCAGTTTTTAGTTTTTAAGCTTCTATTTATTTATATATGTTGGTCATGTGTGTGTGCTCTGCTTTATACGATTGTATGTGTGCTGCTATGAGTGTGTGTAACTGAAGCATCATAAGCGTACTATAATATTTGTAATGCCATAACAGTTATGCATTATCATTACTGAACGGAGGGGTTGTGGCTGTGCACCCCGTGTTGTCCACACGAGGGAGCTAGCTTTTCCTTTTAGGAGAATCCTTGCTTATGCCATCAAGTTTTTATTGGGAAATGAGTTGTATTTTCTTTGGACAAACTCAGGTTGGAATGCATGCGGCTGTGTATTGTGATGTTAGCTCCTGCTGGCACCAGGGACACACACCTTCGCCTCGTACTATGGATATAATGACGGAGTGATCGTTTGGGGGGGATTTTGTTCATCAACTCATCAAATAAAGATTTTATTTTGTAATCAAACCATTAGCGTAGTGGGAATAACAAAGCACTCAAGTGCCAAACTTATTTTGATATAATTGGACTTAGAACTTCTACTCCACTACAGTTATTTAAAAATCACTTTGCGTATTAAAGCGTGTAATTTGCATAAATAATAACACCAATAGCACTACCATTATATACAAATACAAATCATAAATTGGATCCAGATTGACAACATTAAAATGCCCTGACAAAAAGAATAGGATAAGAAATGAGTACAACAAATGTATTATTGTGAAAATAGTTACTTCTGTACTTCTACTTAAGTAACATGTTGAATTTAAGACTTTCCCTTTAATGGAGAATTATATATATCTACTTTTAACTCTAGTGAATGATCTTGATATGATATAAACTATTTTCCAACATCACGGTCGTTATATGATGTCAATTGTGGTTCAGGAAAATGAGAAAAAAACATACATTTTAAGTTATTTTCTAATATTTAGTGTTATTTTCTTTTTTAATGAAGTATAACACACTGCCATTTTGACAAGCTTGTCTATCATAAATGTTCTTGTGTCTCGATTATTGCCCCCCTTTATGAGCTATTTTCAGTCATCACAACTTCAGTTTTTTATTAGAAATGACTTTATTCAGATTATTTTCTTGCCACTAAGATCATCGCTTGAAAGGGTTAATAGTGCGAGGTGCTGGTGCTGCGTCCTCTGAAGGCTCTGTGTTTAAAAGCCAAAAACGGGAGTTAATCTATTCCCACTCAGATATAGAAACACAACTTATTCTTCTACTTTTCACTAACACTTTGAGCTCATTTGTGTAATGTGATGAATGCAAACTCTGAGAGCTTAAGTTGTGCAAATATAGTACAAAATAAAAAACATATTGTGACGTGTGCAGATTCCTTTTTAACCAAATCCATTTTGCCTCAAAACAGCAAGCCTTAAAAAGGAAAATGCTCTCTTGACAACTGGTATGACAAAATCCATGAAATCTATATCATGGAAAGAATCACATTCTCAATGAGGCTACAGGAAAACACATTTGAGGAAATATGGAAAAAGTGGAGAATTTACATATCCCAAAGACGACCATCCCTTGTTTGACGGTTCCTATACACCGATTGAATGTATATAGATGTGTATGTATGGACACATGTATGTGTGTGTGTATTGTATGCATATATGCATGTTGATATGAATGCATATGTACATAGACATTTGCTATTTCAAACAACCCCTGTGTACTTTTTCGTTTTTATTTTATTTTGACTAATTTTGTTTGCTATTTCATTTGTCACTTTTGGGTCTCTAAAAATATATGATTTGAAAAACTGTACTTGTATTATAATGTGACCCCAAATAAATAAAGAATTAAAAAAGGAAGATGCTTAGTGCACACAAGCCTTTCTATACAGTTTAACAGTGAGTTTTACAATTGTCAGACCTTGTAAATGTGCATGTAAATCCACTCTGGTTTGCTTGTTAATTATTGGAGTTCGCCAGCTGCTTTAATGGCTACCTTCACCTTTTTTTACAGCAATGTTCTCTGCAGAAATCCAGCCCGCAGGGTGATTGATTGGGCCGATTACGTCAAACACAGATGTCCTTGAAGGACAACATGAAAAGGGAAATTAGTACCATTATTTTTCAGCTTTTTCTAAGGAAGCTATTAACCTGCAGCAGTTAACCTTGGGTGCAACCTAAAGAAGTCTCATTAAAAACGGCCCTTTAAGCTTTTTTAAATCACACATCAATGAAAAGAGTAACTACTGAAGAGGCTTGAATAGAAGTGCTGCAGATTGTAAAGGTGCATACCCTCTTTAATCCTTATCTTTTTAGACTTGTGACCGTTCTTTTATTTGATTAATGGAAGATCAAAATCTCAGTATTGTAGAAATATGCTACATTTGTCAGGCTGGTGTCAGTGGGTTCATAGATCATGTCCTCAGAATTGTGGGATGTTTCATATACAACATACTTGTGGCCACAGATCGCACTAAGTTTTACAATTCTCAACCTCAAACCCGAGTTTCTGTGAGTTACGCAAAGCCTCTTTTGGGTGATAACGATAGTTTTACACATTGCCAGTGGAAATATGACGTGGCTGCACTGATTGCTAATCAAGCTGTGGTTAGAAAACAATGAACAGCTTGTACATAGAGGGCCAGAGGGAGGATGGATAAGGATTACTCACACCTATTGTAATGTCTCCGTCCTGTAACAGAGTTGCTCAATGCAGGTCTCTCACTATATGTTACAAATGGATTAAAAAGGTCCAAAGTTAAGTTTGAATTTATATCAAACGACAAACCGTTGGATCACACCAGCACTGATGCTAAATCGCACCAAGGGCATAAAGTTGGGCAACAATGGCCCCTTCATAAAATCTGTCCACTGAGAGACAGGCTAATTACTCATAAACGCTGCTGAGGTGTTTCTAGGACAACATTTGGGCCATTATGACACTAAATGGTGAAATACCAAAGTCGTTGCTGGCAATAAGTTGATCTTCTAAACAAACCAAACGACCAAAGGAAAACCCCAACATGCATACTCTTAAAAGACACTTTTTCTTTTGTACCATCTGTATATTGACTGCCTGTGGGTGCTTTCTTCAATTGCAATGGTACCTCTCACACCCCACATTTAAATGGACTTCACTGGGAACCTTCCCCAACTCAAAGTGAGTACAGAAACAGCTGTGGTGGACAAAGATGAATGTTTAACTGCAGTGTGTTCCTCCTTTTTGAATAGACCGTGGAGACTTCCTCAGGACTCACCCCGAGTGGTAATCTGTAATGTCAGATATAATATGCAGATATAAGCGCTTTGAGCACCAGGAAAAGCGCTTTATAAATATAATGTATTATTATTATTATTATATAACTGAGAAATCCTCCAGAGCAGAAATGTCACTGCCGTCATCCTAACAGAGATTTACTGGCTGCAAAGTAACCGATTGGGAAGTCACAGATGTTTTCAACAGCTTCAGTATGCAAGGGTTAGCTTTAACATCCCGTGTATTAGACTTCCTTTCTAATCGAGACCATATCAGCCTTAATGCGTGGTCATTTAAAATAACTGCACGTCTTTCAAAATGCCAGAATCGGTTAGTTTGACGATCTGGAGTCACAAACAAACAACTTGGACATGCTTTGCCTCTGTGATTAAAGGAGTAACTTCCAAGCTTCTTGCTGTATTGTGTTCACACTGACACATGTAGGAGCTGAAACTGTCATTGTTTGTTTCATGTAATTGCTGGGTTGAATAGCGTTGGCATTGTAAAGGCTGATTGTTGTCTGGACAGTTGTAACTATCACGATGCATCAGTGAAACCAGTCTTTATAAAAACAATGTTTAATAGCCAAGATGGAAGGAAAAATAAACTCCTCTGATTGCCCGGCACACAGCGAGAGATAAACAGAGAGTGGTTTGCTCACTAGGGTCAACAACACATGTGCAAACGCAGCCTCGAGAAACACACACAATGGGGGGAGGGGAAGCAGATGTAAAGTACAGAACGGGGCGGTGGTTGTTTACTTTGACCGAGAACAAATCAAGCACCGTTCACCCCATCAACACGGTGTCCTAAAAGTGATGCTCGTTCACTCAAAAATAGTTTGTAGGGAACATACTGCTGCCTAAATTGCAACTGCAAACAACATTTGTTAACCTGCTGTGCATGCTCCTGGGTAATTATTAATATGCCACATCTGACGGTAAAGTGTTATATCTGAGCTTAAGGACATCTGGCAGCAAAGAAGTCACAACCCCTCTTTGTTTGTTGCAATCGGAGCTTCTAGATCCTTTGTTTTGGTAACCGGCGGCTGCATGTTTATTTAGTGCGAGTGAGACCCTCCCTTTGAAACGAATGGCTTTAAAGACACCAAAAGACCCCACACACACAGCATCGTAAAAGCAACATGGCAGGGTTCAGCCTTCAGCTAAAACCAGGTAGCTGCACATTGGGTTACATGGATTGAGGTCGCTCTGCAGATAAAAACAATAGCTATTTACCTTTTTGTTAATCAAATAACTCCAACTAATGCAAGCCCAGTGTACTAACCTCTTCCCTTCATGGGCTACTGCTCTTCTTCATCCCGTTGTGTCTTCAGTGGTCACTTTCTCAGGTGGTTTTGAATGTGGTGTTTAAGGGGATAGTCATATCAACAAATGGACAGGATCTGATTAAGAGATAGTTCTGAGCTTACCGTCTAATCGTCAATCCTGACCAGCAAACTCTAATTTAATGGCCTTATAAAGATATCACCCTTTTCAAATGAAAGAAAAACCACGTAGGCCACAATATTGCCTCCAACTGCATGCAAATTAGAAGAGTGAAAGCTTATTTTTGAAGGCGATAAAGGCGGCATTAAAAGGACAGTTAATGCAAGGTTGCATCCTCTTCTCCTCAACCTACTGGGTTTCATTTTAAGCCTTGTGGGTTTAACAAGGCCATCTAATGATGACATTCAAATGAGAGGCCAGCAGACGTGGTCATTATGTGTCATTTTCAAGGAGCACTGCCCACAAAAAGCCATTTTGCAAGCATGAAAATCACATAGTTTTGTAAATCGTCAGTCAATAAAACATCCTGCTCAAGTGTTTACGGTAAAATAATGTTTGTAGTCTGAGACAAAGGAAGGCAGACCGCCCGCCCACGATGAAGGTGAATTAAACCATGGTTAATCTCTTTTTCCTTTTGTGGCCAGACTCTGGGGTGGAATAAAAAATGTACTTGCTGTGCTTGTTAATGTGCCTCTTTGGTGTAAGACTGAACGTGGTGTTGATGAAACCCCCACCCAGAAAACCCTAGACCACACCCCGGGCTGATGGTCTCGTAAGTGGGACCACGTAGACAGGATGACGTCAAGATAATTCCCAGGAAGAGGATCTGATGTGGGGGAAAGCAGCGCTGCCCTCTCCATTGATCTGGACTAGTAATTTAACTTCTTGCCGAGCGATCAAAGCGGGGGTAAAAATAAAACCCATTCTTTAACAATCATAGTGCAATTGTGGGTTTTCCAAGCAAGGTTGAGGGGACGAAATGTCTAGGATTTGTGACTCACCAGTGCAATTGCAAAACCATCCGGTGGCACCGCCAACAGAGGGTTGCTTCGGAAATAGAAGGAAATCTAAGGTGTGTCCCGACCACAGGCAGTTATGTCATTTTGGCTACGGTATCTCCTCGAGCAGTCCACTAACACTTTACGGCCAAGAGGAGACGATGATGAAGTGGCATCTATGTCATTCAAGAAGTGTTGGCATTATCAATATGCTGTTGAGGATAAGAAGAGAAGAATACAATGTAGTTTGCACAATGAAAAACGTATTTGTCTTTCTTTATGTCCTCAAATGTTCAGTTTCCCCTGGAGTAACTTTTTTTAATGTTTTTTAAACAGTGCTATGGAGAAAGGAACCGATATTTAGACTGTGATACATCTGAATAAAGTTTCCATTGGATAAAACTCTACTAAAATAATGACGTTTCCTTCGACTAAAACACGCTATTACTGTAAGAGAAATCAAAGTAGTAATGGCGGCCATTAAGACGGGTCAGTGAATGAGTAGAGGAACAATTTCAGCCTTATTTTACCATGTGTCCCTTTTCCCTCCTCATCGGAAAAATGTAGTTGTACTCTAATATTTGCTTTCCTTTATAGTCTGCCTCCTTAATGAATCATCTGTTATTTTAATTCCAGCTTAAATTAAATATAAAAAGTGCACAGTGTCTCCAAAACAGTGCTTCAAATAGAGGACGGTCTACTGATGTCACTGTTTATTCTTCTACTAAAGCGAGGACAGTGTGGGCTGGAGGAGTTTTATTTAGCTCTGAAATAAACCAACATTAAAAAAGCAGGCTCCAGCGCACACCACCTGCGTCTGAGC